CCGATGGTCACTAAAAGTCATTTATTGAACAATAAAAAATACTGGAACAAATACTGTGCTATTGAAAAAAAAAAAAGTTTTGCCAAAATCAGTTTTTGCTGTTAAATAAATAACTATAAGTGACCTTAGGGTTAAGGTTCAGGGATGGTATTTTAAGCGATTGTAGTCGAAAGTTCAAGCCTTAATTTCAGCCCAAGTGGAAGGCTCTATCTCCTTTTGTTTAATTTCGGTGGGTACTCAAACTTCGCACAAAATCAGGTTTTTCTGTTCAAAAAATGACTATAAGTGACCATCAGGTCAAGGTGTAGGGATGGTATTTTCAGGGACAGTAGTCGAGACTTCTAGCTTCAATTTAAGCCTAATACCGCCCGTTGATTATAGATTCCGGCTCCTAGGTGAACAAATAAAAGCTGCCAAATTTCCGTGCTATGATAACTGTGACGTGGCGCTTTATTTCCTGTTTTATAAAATGTACATATACATGGTAGATTAGAAGAAATACACATATATTAAGAACTTTTGTGCGATTTCACTCCTATTTGCCAGAATCTCAAATGACCTTTTCATTCTCCTCGTTCAAATTATTTAGTAATGACAAGGAGGTTCACAATAAAGAAAAATCGATAAATCTACATAGGGGGCTCACAATAAATCAAAATCTATAAATTTACATTGCTTAGGCTATGTCTACACTGCGCCAACATCCCCGCCTTCGTGACTCTGATCAGATTCACCAACATCAAGTTTGCAGGCAGGTCGCTTATAGATGCCCGCCTTCGTTTGAATAAGCGCGGTTCTCATTTGGTTGTCTTTACCTGGGAAGACCTTCACTACTCGTTCCATGGGCCAACTCGACTGGTGCATACCACGATTGCATACTAATACCACATCTCTTACTGCTAGTGGTTTTACCGGTAGACACCATTTCGTTCGCCGTGTCAGACCAGGAAGATATTCATCGATCCATTTTTTCCAGAACCGATACTGCATTTGCCGCACTTTACGCCAAAGTTGACTCGGAACTTCTCCTCTTGAGGGTGTGGTGTTTGTTCACAATTC